GAAAGGCCCCGGGCCCCTTACTCACCCCTCCTTTGGGGCCACCGCCACTGCCGTCTGCTCCCGACAGGCTGAGGAAGGGGTTGGTCTGGGCAGTGAGGACTGGAGGTCCGCCTGCTGCTGCCACTGCTGCAGCTGCAGCTGCTGCAGCCATGAGACTTGTGTTGTTGCCAAGCGAGGGAGCCACTAGGGCTCCAGCGGGCAGCAGGGGTGGAGCAGACGCCGTGGGCAGCAGGCCAGGGGTGCCCGCAGACAGCAGCGGGGTGGAGCTTCCTGCCAGCAGGCTGGCCATGGGCAGCTGGGAGCCCCCAGCCATCTGCAGGCGCTGCAGCTCCCGTTTCTGCTGGATCTGCTGGATCATCTGGTAGACAACAGTCTGGTGTTCCTGCAAGGGGGCCAGACTGCTTGTTGGCCAACAGTCCTGGGGGTCTCTAACCTGCTGCCTGCCTGCCCTACCTGGCTGGGCCCCACCCCATCACACTGGAACCAGGAGGCAGGAGGCCTGAGAGACAGTCAAGGTACTGTCTCGAATTTCCCACTTAGCCTCGGTCTCCCCATCTAGACAAGAAAATGGTTGCATGCCATTGGCATTTGTCAGCTGCAGCACTGCCAGCCAACAGCAGGGCATTTACCATCTCTGGCCCTGCCCACAGAATCACCCCTCAGCTCCTAAGACAACCACAGATGCCCCCAAGTTGAAAAACACTAAACTGGGTCAATAGTTTTCTTTTTTTTTTTTTTTTTTGAGACGGAGTCTTGCTCTGTCACCCAGGCTGGAGTAGTGGTGCGATATTGGCTCACTGCAACCGCCACCTCCTGGGTTGAAGTGATTCTCCTGCCTCAGCCTCCCAGGTAGCTGGATTACAGGGGCCTGCCACCAGATCTGGCTAATTTTTGTATTTTTAGTAGAGACGGGGTTTTGCCAAAACTACTGACTAGGTCAATAGTTTTCAATTCACTGGACACTGTGGCTCACGCCTGTAATCCCAGCACTTTGGGAGGCTGAGGCTGGTGGATCACTTGAGGTCAGGAGTTTGAGATCAGCCTGGCCAACATGGTGAAACCCCATCTCTACTAAAGATACAAAAATTAGCTGGGCATGGTGGCATGCGCCTGTAATCCCAGCTACTCGGGAGGCTGAGGTGAGAGAATCTCTTGAACCCACGAGGCAGAGGTTGCAGTGAGCCGAGATCATACCATTGCACTCCAGCCTGGGCAACAAGAGTGAAACTCTGTCTCAAAAAAACCCAAAATTTTCGGGCCGGGCGCGGTGGCTCAAGCCTGTAATCCCAGCACTTTGGGAGGCCGAGACGGGCGGATCACGAGGTCAGGAGATCGTGACCATCCTGGCTAACACAGTGAAACCCCGTCTCTACTAAAAAATACAAAAAAACTAGCCGGGCGAGGTGGCGGGCGCCTGTAGTCCCAGCTACTCAGGAGGCTGAGGCAGGAGAATGGCGTAAATCCGGGAGGCGGAGCTTGCAGTGAGCCGAGATCCGGCCACTGCACTCCAGCCTGGGCGACAGAGCGAGACTCCGCCTCAAAAAAAAAAAAAAAAAAATTTTCAATTCCCTTTCTCTTTTGTTTTGTTTGCTTCTATCATTTAAGATTCATTTATTTTTGCTTTGAATAGGCAAAGCCTTCTTAATGTCCCAAAAACCAAAATAATATATCAAAGTTTACCTTAAGAACTTACTCCTCCTGCTCCCATCTGGTCCCTACAGGCAGCCAGCTGAACTGGTTTCCTGTCTAATGTTTCTTTATATTAAAATGTTTATTTTTCTTATTTTTTCAACTCCCTGTTTTGTTTTTGAGACAGGGTCTCATTCTGTCACCCACGCTGGAGTATATTGGCGCCATCTCAGCTTACTGCAGCCTCCATCTCCCAGGTTCAAGCGATTCTCCTGCCTCAGCCTCCTGAGTAGCTGGGACTACAGGCGCGTGCCACCACACCCAGTTCATTTTTTGTAGAGATGCAGTTTCGCCAAGTTGCCCAGGCTGATCTCAAACTCCTGAGCTCAAGCGATCTGCCTGCCTCAGTCTCCCGTGCTTGGATTACAGGTGTGAGCCACCACGCCCGGCTGCTTCCCTCATTTTTAAAAAGTAAAACCCCTTTTCTCCAAAGGTAGTTTCAGCTGACCCAACAGGAGACAGACCCAAAGAAGATACTATGGTTGAGGGTGGTGTCACCTGCTCAGCCACTTAGACCCTGGAGTTTCCCCTGAATGTCTTTGGGGCTGGGACTGAAATGCTCAATAACTGAGGACTTGCTGCCCTCCAGAGTCTCTCACCAGGATGCGGACCTGGGGCTATTACAGCAGCCCTTTCTCAATGCCCAGGGGACCCTGGGCGTGATCTTATCCCCCTTCCTCCCATGGATGCTCCACAGGGCCCAACCCCAGTCTCACAAGCCCAGCCTGGAGCTTCCCCCACCTCTCTCTGCTCCTGCCCTCTCCTGGCTGGCCCTGATCCTCTGAGATGAGCCCTTCCAGGCAGACCAAGGGGCCCCTGAGGCAGGGAAGGGAGGGGCATTACCGGGGTCAGCTGCGGGGAGGCCAGGAGCTGCTGGAGTTGCTGGAGCTGCTGCTCTTGCTGCTGAAGGAGGTGTCTCTGCTGCTCGGTAAGGCTGAGGTGGGGGTGGAGTGGGGTGGGGGAGCAGACAACACACAGACCATGGGGGAGGGCCAGGGAAACACTCCTGCTCCCACTCCCAAGCCCCCAGACTCCCTCAGACCCAGGGGAAGCAAGGCAGCGATGTGTGATCTTAGAACACGGTGCTCATAGGGTGCAGTGGGAGGGATACAGTTCTGATTTGGAAGAACTGTCCCAGAAGGAAATCCTAGAGTGAAGGAGAGGAAGTCAACAATTCTTTTGTCCCTGGGGAGCTACCGTTCAGAGGACACTCATGTCTAACAGTCTGTGGAGTCCCTAGAGGCCAAGAAGTGAGTAGGATTATATACCCTGTGAGACGAGAGGCCATTTGTCCTTTTAGGGATTGTGGGTGTTTTGGGGAGAATCCCTCCCTTCCCAGAGCCAGCCCCCCACCCTGTTCCCTTTCCCAGGGCTGAGCTCTCCCTCACCTGTTGAGACAGCCTGGCAGCTGCAGCGTGGGGGCCCCGCCAGCCTGGCTCAAGCTTGCGGGGTTGGGGGCAGCAGCCCCATTCAACCCCCCAAGGAGCCCATTGAGGGGCAGGCCCCCACTGCCTGCCAGCCCCCCCAACAGCCCCTCAGCCATGGGCATGGCCCCCAGCCCTGCTGCCCCGGGTGCCCGGCCCAACCCGTTCTGTGGCTGGGGCGGGAGCGGGGCAGGGGCCCCAGGCAGGGCCAGGGGCAGAGTGGCAGGGCTCTGCTGGAGCAGGGGCAGCGGTGGGGGCGTGCTGTGGAAGGACAGCGACGAGCTGCTGCGGCTCGGGCAGCCTGAGTGTGGGTCCTGGGGAGGGAGGGGGAAGGGAGGGGTCAGAGGGCCAGCATGACTTTTCTGGCCCCTGGCCCAGCACCCACCAGCATTCTCAGAGCACAGCAACCCCCACTTCACCCCCAGGCACCCTGGAAGAAGCAAGGTCTGGGAATGAGAGCTAAGAGTCCAAATTGTCTTCACAAATCATGTTTCCTGACTCCTTCCTGAGAGCCCAGCGCCCCTCGTCATCCTCATTTAACAATGGATAATGATGATGGTGGTGACCATCTGGTGAACCAGATCCTGAGCTGAGGGCTTGACCTGTGCTATCTTGCTATTCTCATTTTATGCGTGAAGCCATTGATTCTTGCACAGGTTAAGTAACTCTGCAGGCAAAAGCACTACAGCTGAAGTGAAAGGCTCAGGTTCAAATCCTATGTCCACAATTCAATGGCTTGGGTGACCTTGGGTTCAACCTGTCTTAGTTTACTCACTCATAAGCTGGAGAGTAATAGTAGTACCTATTCCACAGGCTAACTATGAAGACTAAATGAATGCTTTAAAAAATCTCAGCACAGGGCATGACAAAGGGCAAGTGTGCAATTAATGCTGGTTATTATTTTGATTATTATTGCCCAAGTCACACAGTTAACAAATGGCAGAGAGAACAAGAACCCAGTTTGTTGGATTCCAGTAATAACCACAATGCAATAGCAACTGCTATTCCAACCGCCACCAATTACACAGGAATTATTCTGTGTGAGGCGCTATAATAAACCCTTCACAAATACTTCTCAAAGAGGCCTTCCCTAGCCACTTTCTATCCACAGAAGCAGCCCTCCCCCGTTCTCTCTCTCACAGCCCTCAATTTCTCTCCACCCTAACATGTCTCCCAGTTTGTAATTACTCCTTCTTCGCTTGGGGTAGCCTATCTTCAGAAGCAGCACTGTGCCCGTTTTGCTCACTGATTGCTTAGCCAATGCCTGGCACTAAGTGGGCACCTCATAAATATTACTTGATTAAGGGAGGACTGAATGGATCAATCAATTGCTCAGTCAGTCACTTCACTGCCCAGCCTCCAATAGCTGCGGGGAAGAGATGGGACCAGGAGAGCCTTGAGTCTCCCCCTCCTTCCTGCCCCGCTCCTTGTAGCGCCCACCTCAGAAGAAGTGGACAGCGAGTTGTCCAGGCCGAGGCTGCTCTTTCCCGGAGGGCTCTTGCTGGTGCTCAAGGAATCGCTGCTGCCGGCTGTGAGAGGGATGTCACAGGCCGCAGTCAGGGACAGTTCGGACTGCAGGGCAGGAGCCTCTCTCCCAGGCTGGGCGGGATCCCCTCACCTTGGGGAGGCAGGCCATAGGGCCCAGGGACAGGGCCGTTGGCAGCAGGCAGGGCAGCAGGCAGGGCAGGGAAGGGCACAGAGAGCTGCACGTTGAGAATCTGCAGCCGCTCCTTTTTGGCCGTCAGGCTCAGGATCTGCTCTTGCAGCCGCTGGTTCTCCTTCTGCAGCGCGTGCAGCGCCTTCAGCATCTCCACGACTGCGGAGAGAGCGAGGAACCTGAGGGCGGGGCGAGGACGGGCGGAGGCGGGGCCAGGGGGCCGGGGGCGGGGCCTGGAGGGGAGCCAGGGCTCAGCCCTTAAAAAGGAGGCGCCAGCCTAATGAGGGACACAGGTGAGCTCTGAGAAGAGAGGCGGGAGTTGGGGAGCCACAGGTGTGAGGACCTGGGGCAGAGCCTGAGGCTGGGGTCGAGGCCATAGGGGTCAGGAGAGAAGAGCGGAAGTTGCGGTTTGGTAAGGTCGGGGCCCGGAGGCCACAAGCGCCAAAGGCAGGGCGCAGAGGGGCCAGGGCCGGTACTGTGGCCTGGCAGGGATGGGAGGTGAGGCCCAGGGTGGCCGAGAGTCAAGGCTGGGGCGGGGCCTAGGGGCGGAACCTTAAAGAAGCTTGGGGACTTCGGGGAGAAAGATGACTACTGGGGCCCTAGGGCAGGCGTCCCGACCGGCGCCACCCCTCCTCACTGTTGACGCCGGCCTCCCCGTCGCCCTGCTTCTCCAGAAGCTGCTCCATGTTAGTCGTCCCTGGGGCCGCCGGGTCTAACTGGCCGCCCCCACAGGGTGCAGAGGCTGTCTGGTCGAAGAGTGCGGGGAGGCTGCTGATGGGGGACCTGCGGCCAGAAGGAACCTGGGCTCAGTGGATCCGACCACTCCAGGCTCCTCCGGCCCTTCCCCCGTACCCCCCAGGGGTTCCAGCCCGCGCCGGTCTCTCCGCCCCTCTTCCCTCGTGTGTCCCTCCTGCCCCCAGCCCCTCCTCCAGGCCGCCCCTTCCCTCACATGGAAGACAGACTCTCCTGAGGGGAGGTCCCCCGACACCGGAAGCTGCAGTCCTCCAGGTCTGGCTCTTGGAAGAAGGGAAGGCTGGGATCAGCGGGGAGGAGTGGTCGCTGCCTCAGGGTTCCCGCCCCCGAGGTGGATATGGGATTGGGACCTCGCCGCAGATCCCCTTCCCCAGGAATCCCCAACACCAGACTGGCAGTTCAAGGCCAGCGCTGAGGGCCCTGGCTTGGAAACCCTGCCCCTGGGAGGCAAACCCCGGGCATCTGCTCTCTTTTCCTCCTCTGGGCTGAAGGCTCCACTGTCTGGCTTCTTTCAGATCCACCGCCCAATTCCTTTCCTGGGATCTTCAGAATTATAGAAATTTGAGGTCAAGACAGACCTGGATTTAATTTAAACCTGACACCAACTTTTGTGACCTTGGGCTCCTAACCTGCCTCTCTGAAGTGACTGTTACTAAGATTAAAAGAAGGTAATAAATGTGAAGTGTTTACCTGAAGGGTTTAGCTGGCATGTAGCAAGCCCTTAATGACTGCAGCTATTATCATAATTAGCTCTGTATGACTTTTTACATTCATCAGATCCCTAATTAGGAGGCAAAACTCTTCCTTGGGCTACAGAATCCCTGCCGTTCTTAAACGTGGAATCATATTTGTCCCCTTTAAGGCTTACCTGAGTCGGCAGCCTGGCTGTAGTCCCCGCCTCCCAGCCTGACAGGTGGTCTCCCTGCACCAATCAGCTCTCTGGGGCTGGGCTGACTCTCCAGGGAGAGGGCGGGGAGTTTGTGGCCCGCCCCCTTAACTCCTAAATACCCGGAGAGGTTGAGACCTCTATAAGGGCTGATCCCAAGGACACACTCCGATGCCAAGCGGGAGTCACGCTACACCGGTGAAAGCGCTGGGCTTGGAGTCAGGAGAACAGACTCTAAGCTTTGGCTCTGCCATTCCCTGCCTTGAGCAAGTCTTCCATCTCTGTCTTTTTCTTCTGTGAGATGGAGCAGTAACTGCCCTGACCTGCCTTGTCGCTGGGTTCTAACGTGAAAGTGTACCCTGGTTTGCTGTGTGTGGATTTTTTTTTTTTTTTAAGAGACGGGTTCTCCCTATGTTGCCCAGGCTAGTCTCCTGAGTAGCTGGGATTACAGGCGGGAGCCACCACGCTGGGGTTTTGTTTTGAGCCTGGGCGATAAGAGTTTCCTGATCTCCGCTCACTGCAACCTCCGCCTCCCAGGTTCAAGCAATTCTCCTGCCTCAGCCTCCTGAGTAGCTGGGATTACAGGCACCCACCACCACACCCAGTTAGTTTTTGTATTTTTAGTAGAGACGGGGTTTCACCATGTTGGCCAGGCTGGTCTCGAACTCCTGATCTCAGATGATCCACCCGCCTCAGCCTCCCAAAGTGCTGGGATTACAGGCGTGAGCCACCACACCCGGCCTGTTTGTTTTTGCAGGGAGGGCAATGGCCAGAGGGAGGGGGCAGCCAGAAAGCTCTCCCATTCTTTCTGGGGTCACATGCAGGTGATGGGTGTCAGACCTTTGGGAAGAAAGGGGAGAGGGGGTCAGATATTCACATACCTGTGTGGCTGCTCTCAGCTTGGGCGAGGAGGGGGTTAACGGCACCCATGGGGGTTCCAAAGATGTGGGTAGAAGGGAGGCTAAAGGTAGAGCCAGCCAGAGAAAACACCTAAGGGAGGGAGGTAGAATCCCCTGGCAGTTATTCTTGGATCTAGGGCACAACTGTGTGTACCGGGCTGCACGGGGCCGGGTGTGCTGGGGAGCAGAGGGGACCAGAGCCCGGAGGGAGGTCTGGTGGCAACTCAGCCCAGTTGCTCCAATTCCCACAGAAGGCTAGGGTCCTCTGTCAGTCTGTCCCCAACCTGCCCAGAGAAGGAGGAGCCCGGGAGTCAGGTCTCACCTGAGTGGTGGAGATAGAAGCAGAGGAGGAGGGGAGGGTGCTGGTGAATGGGGAGCGGCTGAGGCGGGGCAGGGCCGAGGTCCCTGGGGGCCCCAGGAGGCTGGAGGAGAGAGGGGTGCTGCAGACGGCCCGTAGCATCCCGCCACTGTGGGAGATGGGGTCCTTGTTACTGGTGTAGATGCCTGCAGGCACAAGGAGGACAGAGGGAAGCACACGGTTACCCTCCACCCCAGACTCCTGCTCAGCCAGGGCTGTGACAGCCCCTCCCCAGCTCCAGTGCTCCCTGATTCTGGCTACACATCCAGTCTAACCCTCTTGCTGCAAAGATGTCACTTCTTGCCTTGGTGACATCTGCTTGCTGTGCCTGCTTGTTAAACTGCCCTGCCCAGGGCTAGGGAATTCCTAGCTTTTATAATCTCCCTCCCAAAACTTGGTAAAACCTTCTGACAATCTGCCCCCAGTCCTTTCCACTCCAGGCATGCAGAGGGGGATGTCCTGAAGGTGACTGTCTGTGCTCTGTCTTTTGGAGGAGTATCCATCCCATTTCCTTCTAAGTGCATGTGTAAGCTCTGTTCCTCACTAGACTGGCTGGGCCCTGAAATGCCCTCTGTCCCCAGGGGTCACTAACCTGCCCCTAGTAAGGGGGACTCCAGGCTCAGGCTGGGCAAGCTCCCAGAAGGCCCAAAGTTTCGGGAGGCCAGACCTCCCAGGCCAGAGCTGACCAGGGAGCCTCCAGAGAAGGGTGAGGCAGCAGTGGCGGTAAAGCCAGCCAGCTGGGCACTGGGCAAGGATGGGGCAGCTGGGCCCCCAGTGCCCTCCTTGTTCCGACTGCCCTTGGGACGGCCTGGCCCGTGGCGGCTCCTCTTGCTGGCTTTGTGCTTCTTCTCCTTCAGGCCTGTCTCAGGGGTCTCATCAGCAGGCACAGGGGTGGCACTCAGTGAGGGCATCCGCTTGTGGGTGCCTGCCGAGGCCCCAGACCCCGTGACGTGGGGAGATTTATAGTCCCCAGGGGAGGGCGCCCGGGCCCGGCCTGAGCTGGAGGTGGTGGTGGAGAAGCGCATGATGGGCCCAAAGCCAGAGAAGACCACCTTCTGCTCAAAAAGGTCAGCCTTGGGGGGCTCGGGGGCTGAGGGAGAAGGAGGGGCTGAAGGGGCGGGGGCTGTGGGCTTGGAGTACTTGTCCTCCTCTGGCTGCTCCAGCTTGGGGAATGCAGAGAAGTCAGGGGAGCTCTGCAGGGACGAGACTGTGCACAGAGGGAAAATGGTTACAGCTGGACCCCAGATCCCTGCACTCCCTCCCACTCCCACGTGTACTGGAGGGAGAGAGCTCTGGTCCAGGAATGGGGACGCCTGGTTTCCTGTCTCAGCTCTGCTACTGTCTGTGTCCTGGGATAAGTACCTCCGACCCCTCCAGCTTTCCCACCTGTACTAAAATGGAGAGTAACTCGCACCCTACTGGCCTCACCAGATGACTGTAGCGATTATAGGAGATAATGTTTACAGGGTGCTTGAAAAATTGTACCTTGCAGCACAAATGTAGGGGATAAGGAATACTGTTATGGGTTGGTGGAGGAGGAGAGTTCTGGCTCAAGAAGGAAGGGTTTAGGGGCAGGGTTGGAGAGGAGGGGATTCCCCATCTTTATCCTGAACCGATGTAGAAGTAAATGAGATGCACAACCAATATGCAAAGTCCCTCGCCAGAAAAGCTCAGGATGAAAGGCTGTCCCTGCTCCCAGCTTCCTCCCGGATGCTCACACTCACCTGCAGGCTGGAAGGGCCCCCCAGAGGAGGAGGAAGAGGAGGAGGAAGAGGAGGAGGCAGAGGTAAAACTGCTCACACCTTTCCCACTGCTCAGTTTCTTCCCCTTATGACTCAGGCTATGGCTGGAAGACTTTTTCCCCTTTGAGTCCCTGCTGCTCTCAGAGGTCTCCTGCGTGCTGGCCTCATGGTGGGAGGAAGAGGAAGCTGAGGAGGAGACCTGAAGGAGAGGAGAGAGGAAGGTTCGACACCGGCTGCCTGGGCCTGTGCTGATCCTGATGTGGGAGTGAAGCAGGGGGGCACAGGACCTCGCTCAACTGGGAGAGCCCACAGCTAGTTTCATGAAGGACTTCCGGGCAGGGAGTGGCTGGGAGCCCCTAGGCAGGGATATGAGGCGGCAGCTGTGGCACTCCTGGGTGTGAGGCAGAGGGGAATTCACTGAACCCAAGAAGGCGTCTGTCTTTCACCTTAGGCAGGGAAGATGGAAGCTGAGGGGGAGATGAAAACAGTCCCAGAGTCTGAAGAGATTTACTCATTGGTCCATTCATTCACTGAATACTTAGGGCGCCTAAGGCAGCTGGACCTATGCTGGAAGTGGCGAGGCAGAGAAGAGGACCCACAGGAGAATGGACTTCTCTGGTGCCATCCTGGAGCCCTCCAGCTACTACTCCAAACTTCAGCCCCCTGGCTTTCCACCCATTCTCTAACCACCCCATGCTCTTCCTAGACAACCTGAGATTGCACACACTAAGCGTCTGCCAGGAGAGCCCATCCTTACTCTTCCTGGGAAATTTCTCATCCTTTAAAATCCAGCTTAGAAGTCCCTCTTCCCTGAAGCCTCCCTAAATACCTCAGGTGGAACAAGGCACTCTGTCCCCTTATTTCCAGAGAACTGGGCACACATGACCACATGTCAACAGCTGCTACTCTGCACTGAAATGTTCTGTCCTGTGTCTGAGGCACCAGAAACCAAGGAGAGTGGCAGGGTGGTGGTTGAAGGAGCGTGGGCTCTAAGTCGGGCAGAGCAGGGTATGAGCCTGGCAGGCTCTGCCCTTTACTGCTATGTTTTTTTTTCTTATTTTTATTTTTTGAGATAGAGTTTCACTCTTATTGCCCAGGATGGAGTGCAATGGTGCGATCTTGGCTCACTGCAACCTTCAATCACCTCCCGGGTTCAAGTGATTTTCCTGCCTCAGCCTCCCAAATAGCTGGGATTACAGGCACCGGCCACCACACCCTGCTAATTTTTTGTATTTTTAGTAGAGGCAGGGTTTCACCATGTTGGCCAGGCTGGTCTCGAACTCCTGACCTCAGGAGATCCACCTGCCTCAGACTCCCAAAGTGCTGGGACTACAGGCATGAGCCACTGCACCTGACCTCTCCGCCATGTTATACTGTGCAAAGTCTCAACCTTAATGAGTATCAGTGTCCTTACGGGGAGCACTATGCATATGTGGTGAGTTGGAAGCAGCATGATGCCAGATACATCATATGGGGTCAATAAATGATGAGACTTCCGATGGCAGCAGGTGAAGAGCCCAAGCCTTCGAGCCAGACTGCGTTGGAATCTCAGCTCTACCACTTTACTAGCTGTGTGCTTTTAGGCAAATTACTTAACCTCTCTGTGCCCCATTGTCTTCATATATTATATTAAATGGGGTTGGTAAATTTCCAACCTAATTGGATTGAGTATTAAATGGACTAATCTCCATATGCCCTTCCATCTCCTGGTTCCAGAACACAGCCTGGCATGCCGTGAGTTCATTCGTGCTTCAGGCTGCTGCCAGGGACGGCCCTTTTCCTCCTGGTAGCGACCAGGTATTCAGTCAATTGTGCTGAACAGATAAATGCTGAATGGAGGCTGGACCG